ATAAATCCCCAGTATGTCATGCGCGTCCTAACTTAAGCCAACTGAGGAGGATTGGGTGTCATCGTGCGCCGCTGGGAACCTGCTCAAACACTGGCCTGGCGGATCTATTTATAGCCGCCGTGTCATAGCTGAAATATTGCAGAGTGCAGCATTCACTCTGTCACCAATATGATGTCATACTACATGTGCAATACAACAGTTTACCAATGGCCAGACCCGAGTTAGGATTAATCTCAGGAGACTAAAGGGATCAGGTGCATGGTCAGGCTCGCTGACTTGGTTGATGAATGTCATCGTATCCCAATTGTACGGATCGATGCTCGTGATATCAATCACTGGATTGTCTGGTCCAGACTCGATTATTTACAGACCTTCGTCATATAGCTCGGATAGTGCTGAGTGCGGCGTTAACAAACAAACAAACAAACAAACAAACCAATGGCAAATGTCGTCTAGGTATCCGCGTCTCTCGCTATCTCCCGCTTCTTGTTGGGTCACAGGGCTGTGCAGGGAAATAATTACCCGCAAAAACTCAAGAAACTGTTAACATGATGTTTATAGAGTTTATCGCCTGCAGCTATATCTCCTGTATTCAGCTTCTCGTGTGGATGTTCTCCCGGCGTTAAACTTGCACAAGTCTCTAAGGCAATAATTATTAGTATAAATGATAATTTCTAGATTATGTAAGTAATAAGAACAAGTTGTCCCTGTAAGAGACTGGAGTCTGTACTGTCCACATATCTAGACTTGCCTATTGAGAAGATAGAATTACTACACATCCATGGATATTTCTTTCAGTACAGCATTGTAGCAAGGTTATGTTTGGTACGGCAGACAACACTGTTATCAGCTCACGTGGAATGAACACACACTGTATGGAAACAAATCGCGGCTTTGCTGGAATTGCAGCGACGGTGTTGATAATGTATGGTTACTTTTTGCGTGTTTGTTTAAATGCTCTGTGTGGAATGCGAGTTCTCCGAGGACGGAAATATTGTATGGCCTCCGATGTAGCCAAGTTATCACATTAACGGGATCGGGTGGTCAGGCTCGCTGACTTGGTTCATGCATGTCATCGTATCCCAATTGCGTGGATCGATGCTGTCCATCACTGGTCAATACTCGATTATTGACAGATCGCCGTCATATAGCTGGAATGGCGCTGAGTGCGGCGTTAAACAACAAATAAACAAAATGTTATTTGGGTGTCTAGTTATTTCGATGTATAGTTTTCACGCAGTAGGGAAGAGAACGTCACATGTCTCACACGTCATCACGGCAGAGCGAGGAAGAGTGTGGATTGTTTTGGTCGGCGGGTTTGTTTTAATGTATGGGTATCAAGGCACTTCAAGCACTTCCATTGTCCGTACATTGCATTGCCACTGGAGGCCGCTGCATGTGTGGCGAGCAACTGATGCCGTGCGTGACGTTGTGTGTGTAAAGTAACGTATGTCTTGTGTGGCGTTGTTTGTGTCACTTGACTTGTGTCATGTGTGACGTTGTCTGTGTGTCACGTGACCTGTATCGTATGTGACGTTGTCAGTGTCACGTGACTTCTGTTGTGTTTGACGTTGTCTGTGTCAAGTGACTTATGTTGTGTGTGAAGGTTGCCTGTGTGTCACGTGACTTGTGACGTCTGTGTGTCACGTGACTTGTGTCGTATGTGACGTTTGGATGAAGTGACGTGTGTCGTACATGCCGTTGTGTGTGTCCAGTGACATGTGTCGTATGTGACGTCTGTTTGTTAAGTGATTTGTGTCGTATATGACGTTGTCTGTGTCAGGTGTCTTGTGTCGTATATGACGCTGTCTGTGTCAGGTGTCTTGTGTCGTATATGACGCTGTCGGTGTTTCAATTGACTTGTGTCGTGTGTGAAGTTGTCTGTCAAGTAACTTGTGTCGTGTGTGACATTGTCTGTGTGTCAAGTGGTGTATGTCGTATGTGACGTTTGTATCAAAAGACGTGTGTCGTACATGACGTTGTGTGTGTCCAGTGACTTGTGTCGTATGTGACGTCTGTTTGTCATATAGCTGGAATATTGCTGAGTGCGGCGTTAAACAACAAACAAACAAACAAAAAACCAATGTCCCAAAAAGGTTTCAATGTTAATATGAATTCAACACTGTGTGAACCGAGATATAATTGATATTCTGAAACAGTATTGCCTACTATTAGAATAATAATAATGCTACAATAATGACCACTATTGTCATCCTTAACCCCGATTTACCATCAAATAAACAGTTTGGCATCACTGGTTTCAGCAGTCAGATTTTGACATCTGACACTTCCTGGGCCCTATTGACAAACAGTGGTCCACACTGACCAATCATATTGACCGTTATAATCAATTCGGCTGGTCCGCTTTGACCAATCAGATTAGCCAAATCGGCAGGTCTGTGTTCTTCTCAGAGTCTGGGGTCGAACAAGGGAACGTTTAAGTCTAGACAACGTAATTCCGGAAATAAACCGACTGTGACCAATTGGGAGTGAGAAAATGGTGTTCAACGCCGTTGTCAGTAATCCAATCAGGACCAGGCAGGCAAACATGAGACGCACGATCACCGATCCACCGGGTAACGATGACGTGCAGTCAGAGCAGTCACAAAGTTGTCTCTTATAACGAACATGATATCCTATCCTGACCGGATATCCAGAGGGTCTGTGACCAATTGTGTTAAACTAGACCGAAAATGTACATCAGTCCAGACATTATAAACTCAGGGAAATATCTGACACATCACTGGACTGTCAAGACAGATTCATAAGAAATCAAACCCTCTATAAAGAGGTATCAACTAGCTGATCAAACAATGCAAGAAATAATAAATTTGCCTGCTTCCAACACTGGCACACCTGGCATTAAATATCAGATACAGAACAAAACAAAATGTGTATTTTATCATTTTATTTGGCTACTCTAAAACTGTCTTCCTGCCTGTACAGCTCATCGCTAAAACCCGCCCTGCTGAACGGCGGTAACGTCACTAGCGTCATCAACGTCATTTAGTACCTTTCCCAACGTAAAAATGTTTTGAATTCAGTATGAAGACGCAACGAACAATGTTCCTTATGACCTTTCACAAAGTAAAAATGTTTTGAATTCAGTATGGAAACAAAATGCACAATGTTCCTAAGTGACGTTTATGACGAATATGACGAGTGTGGCGTGACGTTCACCGCCGTCTCAGCAGGCCTGGCGTTAGACTTGCTACAAGGCACTTACAGCAATGAACATGCAATGACATTCGTCACACCACCGTGCGATCATCATATCTCTGACCAAGAAACTACTAGTCATGTTTTGGTTATTGTAATTTAGGCTAAGAATTGTATTAAATGCTTGATGACTTGTATTAAAATAAAAAAAATTAAATATTGCCGCAACAAGATCCCAAAATGTTCAAAATATTGAATAAGTCAATGTTATTATCATGACCCTAATCAGAGATATAGAAACGTACGGAAATTGACGAAGTTTCCCGAGTATGAGTGATTATCTATGTACAGAGTATGAGATCTGCGCCATTTTGAAATCTGTTTCACAACTGAAGTTCCTCTTCACCCGTATCATAAATATCTAAATGAGAAGTTTTAAGTCACAAATGCCATTTAACTGCCATTAATACTGAGGAACACAACATTTTCCGTTATACACTGCAGATATCCCCACCCGCCCTGATATTAAAGACTATGCGATACGATTTACGATGTTTAAATGATGTAGCACCGAGAGGGAGTCGGACAAAGCTGGCTGGTTTGAGCAAAGGTTTCTCTATGACGAGTATGGGCTATATAACTGATGGTTAATAAGCGTAATCTATACTCTAAATACGCACGTGTCTTAATTTAATATATAAATAATAATTACAAAAGTTAAACAGTACTCCATAATGTTCCATATCATCACAGTGAGGTCTATGCTTCTACTATACAGCATATATCATGCCAGTGGTTCTTTATTGCACGCCGCGCATACGCGCAGCCTGTATTTCGTGCGGCGATCAGATACGACTGTAGCACTTATTGACATGGCTAGATACTCACATCATTATCAGCATCACCTGCTTGACGGACGGTAAACAATAATTAGTACAATATCAATAGAATATGTAACCTAGCTACGAGATTATAAAAATACAAAATTAGTTCAATATGAAAGGAAATAAAAATCATTAATGTTTCATAAATGCATTAAAATACTTGACGGTTGCGTGTAGAAGGAGCGGTTGAGTTGAGTAGATGTCAGTTGATCACATGCCATGAGCTGATGTACTTTACACTTTACATTTTACACTTTACACGCCAACGTTCGTTCATTATGGTCATGATTGTTCTAATGTTTGTTGTTACCATGGCAACCAAAATGCCACATATCCAATTCCTTGGAGGCACTTTAATACTGGAGCATTAATCTTGGTCATCACACCTAAAACATCGACTCAGGGTATCCTTGTTGATGACGTTTTTGACGTCCATGACACTGGTCATATTCTCTGTCTACTTGACGTGAAGAGCTGCAGTTTATGTTTTTTCTCTAGTTCCTGTCAGAACAGAGCCACGCGCCTGTTTTACACGTCAATGTCAACGTCTCAGCACGTGTTCTCCTTGAATCGACGTCAGCAGGTGCACGGTAAACTCTCGCCCGCTTACCTTTCATCTCTGCCTTGGGTGTCCGAGTCAAGACAAGAGAACAAGCCAACAAGTATTACGATACAAATAGCGGAAACAAGAGTATTGTTATTTGTCACAAATTGCTCACGCAGTCACACATTAAGTCCAAACCGAGTACTAGCTCTGTAGTACGTTCCTGCCGTAATCCCAGCCATGACGGAATCACCCGGATGTACCCAATGGTTCAACCGGTTCTTCCCTTCTCTGTGAGCCAGCTGCCTTGAAAGAATACGTCATTGTCTTTGGCATGGTTATTAACAACGTTCAAAGATACAGTCACGTGACAATCGTCACAAAAGCGTCGTCACGTTTGTCATCACACACGTCACATGATCCCCGTGCCACGTGACAGCTCAAGGCATCTTCTCCTTCTGGTAGGCTTGGTACCAGATCTTGGAGAGGCAGATAGCGGAGTGGAAGCGGAAGAAGATGTAGAGGGGCACACACAGATGCAGCATGATGTTCCAGCTGAGGATGCCGTAGAAGTCCTGATGGAAGGGGATCACCGTCGTCTTCTTGTTCTCGAACATACCTACTACCCACAACGCCAAGTTGCAGACCAAGGTGAAGGTCACGATGGCGCGACCGGGCTTCCTGTCAATCTGGCTGTCGTTCTCCGAACACCTGCACAGGCCGTCGAGGATGAAGACTGTCTGCATGGTGCTTTGTATCAGTCCCAGGGTGATGACAACAAGGGAGAGAATGCTGGAGAGGCTCTGGATGTTGACGGTGGACGCCGCCGAGATGAGCATGAAGCTCAAGTAGATGTAAGCGCCCCCTACCGCCACTGCCAGGAGGATCGAATCCAAGGACAGGAAGTAGTTTTCCATGAACTTGAGCTGAGTGAGCCGGATGTGCCCGATGACGATGCAGACACCCGTGATGCTGAGGAGGGCAAGCTCCATCACGAAGAACACATTGATGGCTGTTTCAGGGTCTTTCAAACGAGCCTCAAACACAAAGAATGTTGCTATGGAGATGAGAGTGACGACGGCGATGAGGAGGCCTGAGAAGAGCCCCTTGTTGGCTTTCTCGCAGTCCATGCTGGCGGCGCCGTGGGGAGCCGAGCTGGTGAGAGAGGTGTGACTTGGCCATCGCTGCTTCACCTTCACCCCCACGTGCTGGTACATGCGGTAGATGATGCCGGCGGCGATGATACTGTACATGATGGTGCAGGGGAAGAGGTAGGGGGATGCCGTCCTCGCCACCGTTTCCTCCTCGTAGCAGCTTCGCGTCAGATAGATGGAGCTGTCTGTAAGGCGAGATACATATATGAACGACAGCTTAGTCACTTCCGGGGATAACAGTGAATTACTTATGAAGTAAGTGAGTGAGAACGTTTGTTTAGCGCCGCTTTGAACAATATTTCAGTTATAACATGGCGTGTCTGCTTGCTAATGGGGAGGGGAAATGGGGTTTAACGTCGCATTCAAGATTATTGCACATATATAACGACGTGCATACACGTGTGTGGCTGTTTGTACTAGTCCGGACTGATGCCGATTTTATAGTGCTAGCCCACTGGGATGCCATGCCCCAGTTTAACATAATAACAGAATAACCCTCTCAGACACAGTATAGTGACTCCAAGCCGACCAGTCGGACGCTCTACCACTAGACCACGGAAGCGGTCGCTTACTATTGGAGGGAGCCTGAAGTCATGCATGTCTTAGTTACTTGTCGTATTAGTTGTTTAAGATATTACTTTATTAAGTCGTTCCAATCAGATAGTTTAATAACATTATATTTATTCATTTTTAAATCTGTTACTTGGCACAATAATATGGTCAGTGTGATTCAGCGTCGGATATGATGCAATTGACTTACGATTTTGTCTGACCCTTGCGAAAAAGTCTTGCTGTCGGGAATCCTCGGCCGTTTCCGTGACTGCCGTGACAGCCCATACACAGATGTTGGTTGCTAGGAGATGCATGAGCCCAAACCTCACCGCAGGTTTACACTTGTCAATCACCAGCTGAAATATACACAAAACTGGTCTTACTGAACTGCACCATAGCGCATTGCAGTGTAACGTGACGTTTCGATGGTACTTCTCGTCCATTCATTGGGTGAAACCATACAAATAAACAATTCCTAATGCTCGGCAGAAATATACCTGTAGATCTGTTGTTAGATGTTTAACGCAGCACTCAGAAATATTTCAGCTATATGACAGCGGTCGGTAGAGAGTTTCGACCAAACAATCCAGTGATTGACATCATGAGCATCAATCTCTTGCGAGTACGACAATCATGGGTCGCTGAAGACTAATTCTAACTCGGTAGATAAATAATAATCATCTGCACAACTGTACCATCGACCATGCATATGTTCTTTGTAAATACATCTTATTAATAGCTGTACTCTGTGCCACCTTAATCTGGTCTTGTATATTTGTATGTTTGTTTAACGCCGCACACAGCAATATACCAGCTATATGACGGCGGTCTGTAAATAATCGAGTCTCGATCAGACAATCCAGTGATTGCCATCATGAGTATCGATCCACGCAATTGGGATACGATGGCATGCATCAACTAAGTCAGCTAGCCTGACCATCCGATCCCGTTAGTCGCCTCATACGACAAGCATAGTCGCATGGATTGCTCAAGACCTGTTTTTTACCCGGATCTTCACGGGTCCTTAATCTGACTTAACGTATTTACTTGATAGTACTTGATCATTGCCCTGTCTACGTACCACAAGATTAAACCGGTCTTATTAAAATGCATTTAACGGCACATTTGGATTGAGTATTGTTTCCTGTTAAGTAATGAGCGCCGTGGCAAGTCTAGCCGTGTTAGGGTAAACACTTAGTGGAATAAGGGTCTCTGAAATCCTCAAAGTGAGGAACAGCTAACTGCATTCCAGTCCCCCCAAAACTCCCGCTATCAGCAGGGGTCCTCTTGCCAGCTTCCCCGGTGTGTCACATCTGATTAATGACCACAAGCTCTTCTGTAGCAGACGACATGTATGTGAGTCCAGAAAATAATTGTCTTCTTTTAAAATATTGATATTTGGTTATTTTAAACTACTTTCGAAACATTTAAATGTTCTGCAGATTAAAAGAAAGTTTATTGGTCAACTTGTAGACAACCCATTTAAATTTAAATTTATTGTGCGTAACATAATGGCTTTATTAATGCTTTCAAAAGCAGGCAAGACATATTACAAAGTATAACTCTTTTGCCATGAAACATTTATCTAGTCAGTTGTGTACGAAAACATCAAAAGTACAGTAGACATTGATGAATAATTAAAACAAATGTTCATAATTAACAAATCAAGTGGGTTTTTTACATGAAGCAGAAACAGTATTTACTTACTGGATTCAACATTTGACATAATAAGAAATATCTTTCAAGAGCTATAAGCGTGTTCATAAACCTGCAGGTGCAATGGACATCAAGTTACTGCCCAGTACTGGAATTGGTGCACGTGGTCTTCTGGTTACATTCATGTAGATACGAGAAGTTAAGTTAAAACAAACTATATAGAAATAGTTTCATCTTGGTTTTCCTTTCATGTAAATACCATAGTCACCCCTATTTGTTCTAACTTTGATGGCAAAGAGTATTTAAAACATAAGTAAGTACAAAGTAACAAATGTCATATTTGGGATAAAACTTTTATCTGTAAAGTGCAAACCCTAGTAATCATTGTTGGAGTTGAGTCCCATCTGGGACGAAAATGGAAGTTTGACAAATGGTACTCACAAGCTTCGTGTACCACTCTGACAAGTGTAAACCCACTAATTATAAAGTTTAAAATTTTACCCATCATATTATTCTCAAAAAGGTTTGAGGAACCATTTTACATTGCTACGTTAGATTTTGAGGAGGTTATTGAGGCATATAATATATCCTTTTAATAACTGAAGTGGTAGTCAAACATAACAAATGTTATATATTTTGGATAACACTTTCTTTGCAAAGTACAGTTTCTCCAGACTGAGGCACCAATCGCCAGCACACAAAGTCAGCGCTCTAATCCACTCAGCCACCGAGGCTTCCACAAAAATGAAAGTCCGACAACTGGTAGTCTAGATCACGTACTTTGAGTACCCCTCTGACAAGTGTAAATTGGCACTGTTCCCATGGCCGAAAGCTATGAATACACAATGCCATTAAGAAAGTGGTCAAATGTAACAAATGTTATATTTTGGATAACACTTTCTTTGCAAAGTACAGATTCTCGTACTTTTTCGGGTTGAGTCCCGTCCAGGATTCGAACCCACACTGCCAGAGTGAGGCACCTAATCGCCAGCACACAAAGTCAGCGATCTAACCCATTCAGCCACCGAGGCTTAAACAAAATTGAAAGTCCGACAAGTGGCCATGGGAGCCCTGCCAAATATACACTTGTCAGAGGGGTACACAAAGTATGTGATCTTGACTACCAGTGTTATCCCAAATATACTATTTGTTACATTTGACCACTTTCTAAATGGCATTGTGTGTACATGGCAGTCAAACAGTTTTGAACATTATTTGTTGTGGCGAACATATTGTAAATTTGCTCCAGTATAAATCCATTTTTCAATTTTTCACTGAAAGAGCAAGTTGAACAGAATACTATTAAAACACTAGTCTGCCTCACAGAATCTCAAGCTTTTTAGTTTCCTTTCTGCCTTCCCCTTACTGAAATGGTATAGCCCTAAAACATGAAGCAAGTATAAAATTTTCTAAAAGCTGAATCTCTCATCTCTGTGTGGCTCTTTTTCAATTTATTGGCGATATTGGTTTTTATTAAAATTATATAGACTAAGGGTTAGTCTACTAACATACCTATGAGTATGAGCCTAATCCAAAACTACCATCATTAGTAATGGCTAATGAATTGCCTAATTGGGTTTAAACCCGATAAACATAAAAACTTACCTAATTGAACATGATTTATATATTGGTCAAGGGATGTCAGTTTCCAGTGAATAGACACTTTATTGTAATTATTACCTCCAAAACGTTTTTCAAAGAGTTGATTTGGTCACTGTAGTTTCACTGTTTTGTCTTGGAGTCTTATGTTTCAATTCTTGAGTGTCAAGCTGATCCACGCCATCAGTGCCCTAAAGTAAACAAACTGGGACCAGCTTGACCGTGCCTGCTTCACTGGAGCAGGGGAACAACTGATAAGATCATGGCTAAAGAGTATCAGATTCAGTGAGAGGGGGGATGCTGACAGGGAGAGTTTGGGCTTATGCCACTAAGTGTAAAGCGGAAACGAGGCATCACGTGACATTCCCATAGTATATGAAGTCATATCGCCTGATGTAATTGTGATTGACTGAAATCTATTTATTTAAACAAGTCTCGTCTGTCAAACAGTTTATGTTCCAACTGAGAACAAAATATTGCAATAACACGGCACACCGTGCGGGAATATACAAATCCTACCCGTTGCGTGGATTCACTGCAGATACAGACGAATGTACTTCCGAAAGAAATAAACTTGCAGATAAGACCATCTTGGATCAACGGTACTCAGACATTTTAACGCATACTCATATTAGGTTTTGTCTTTTGATGTTACATTGACGCGACAACATTAAACATCATGTAATTCATCTTCATCGTTATGAGCGCTTCCGTTAGCCATCACTTTTGATCTGAAAGTGCTTGGATTATGTGAAAGTACATATATTTGTTCATCTAACGATTTAATTTCTCGAAACTGATTTCATGGCCATACACCTACATGTATTCATTTTTATCATTACTCATTAAAGAATCCAGCTATATGATTGGCCAGTCGCCGATCTGTACATACAAGTCGGCTGGCAAGCATAGACGAATGACATGACGTCAAAGTGTTTGATATGACGTCACGAGTGTGTCGTGTCACAATGCACCCTGTTTGCATTTCGGGCTACATCAGGTCGATGGCGGTCGGAAGATATATAGAGAATCTCACCCGAGTGTCTTTTGATATCAAATATATCAACACTTGTTGATAAAAGTGGAAAAGTTGATTTTTTCCATATACAGCGTAGATATCGCTTGATCTCACCCAAGCATTGACCGCCATCGACCTCCATGGAATCACACAGGGCGCCCCGTGGCCCCTTCAGAAGAGGAGGGGTAGGTGTACAGTTACCTTGTGGTTCTTGAAGAGGAAGAACGTCTGGACGAAGGTGAAGATGAGGTGGAGAACATACACAAGGGTGAAGATCTTACTCTCGCACGTCTCCGTGTTGTCGGTCTCGAAGTAGGACGAGATGTGGAAACCGTCAAGGGTGACGCTCCCAATGCTGAACGCTGCAAAACACATATAATGCAATGTTCACAACATTAGGTAGGCTGCCATGTATACAATAACTGAAATACCACAGGGGTACTACGAACTGTTTCTAGCTGCGTTCACACTTTCATTGTCTTGTTACTGGCACTGAAGTATTAGGCGATACCCGTCATCCAAACACGATTACAAATGGATGCAGATGTTTCCCTCAGATTTGACATGGATTAACCAGGGTATCTATGAATTATGACAAAAGAAAAAAATCATAACAAACATATTCAGAATACTTGAAGTATCACTTTTGTATATCGCACATCTCTACTCACCTAGGGCCCCAAGTCGGAGGTAAAAGTTGATTCCCTCTCCGACATGCGCAACTTCCCCATCCGCCGGAAGTGCGAGCTGACTGCGCATGGAGGCGTTGCTGGCGGTTGATATCTGATCCAGAGCTTCCTTGCGGGTCTCCTTCTCCAGGATGCTGTCGTCATCGTTGGACCTGCGGGTTGGGGACGGCGACTGCTGGATGTTCTCAGTGCTGCGCCGGATCACCACCTTGATGTTGTGGTCGAAGAAGTTCTGGCGCACCTTGACGCCTCGGAGGATGCCGATTTGGAGATAGAGGAGGACGATTAGGGAGCCAGCGTACAGGTAGACCAGGAACACCTTGAGAAGGGAGGAATGCAGGTGTAAGGAGATGTATTACGTTATACCACTGTGGCATCATTACAGACAAGTACAATGCAGTATGTACTATCTTACCTTACACATGAATGTCGGATTCTGATTGGCTGAGACCCATTCTATCATTATCAATGCACCCCACTGACATGTAGCTTACATTTCAAATTGCCGAACTGATGGCATGTAACATTTGCAGCATACGAAACGCAATTTTATATCTCGAATTAATTATGTAAGACGCCATTCTCGATATAGACTATATTTCCCGAATAAAATGGATCTAGGGGAAATAACTCCAGTTTGTTTTCTGTTTTCGCTTCGGTGTATGTGAAAAATGAACGAGGTGAAAAATGCCGAACTGTGGTATTCTTACCGATTAGGACCTGAGGAGTTGTACATAAGAAATATTTATAATATAATTAGGCTTGCTGTAGGATAAATCCGTTGTGCACCGGTCCCACGGGTGTCGTGGGTTGATGTAGGGCCTACATTGGTTTACGTAAGATAACGTAACGTCTACCAAGTCCCCCTCGAGGCCGATGGACAACCTATAATATTACAACTTTGGCGACAAATATGATGACAAAAGAAAGATCCGGACTAGCCTTATATTATTGTGAACTAAACGTACAGACGCAGTCTAAAGTTACTATTCTGAGAATTTATGATATATTATTTTTTTAAACGCGCGTTCCCGAGCACCCGGAGTCATCACTGATTTCCATGCAACTAATTGTCACCGCTGGCTTGCCTATTACGCCCACAGAATCTGTGTCGGACTGGATGTATGCATTGACAATTTTTGTTTTCTTGAACTGGGTCGATGTTCTCTGTTGGTGGACTGTAGTACCCGAGTTTCATCATAAGCTCAGTGGCATTTATCAACTACAAAAGAAATGTTTGGGCCGAGACATTAAAACTGCAACCACTGTGTTACTAACCGAATATATTTCTTAGACGTTTCTTTACTTATGAGCAGCAGAAGCTCTGCACAAGTTTCATGTCCGTTTTATTAGTTTCAACAAAATCAGTAGAAATTATATTTTGTGAAAACAGATGCTTCTTTTAGCTCTCTTGAAGATAAACTGTCAAAACTTTAGACGTATTTGTAGAAGTGCTTTTGTTCGTATCTGACTGTTAGGATTACACCCCATCAAAAGACCAAAACTTACTTCCTGTAATATACTCACAGAAGATATATGTACATGATTTAACTATGCATTCTCATTTTAAATCATGACAAGAGTTTGTAGATAATTTAAACCACAATCAAATGTTACTCCCCCCTCAATAAACAAACATATGTTGGGTCATGGTAATGATACCCCAGCTGCTGTTATAATTTGTATTGGCAGCACTCTGTTTATTTAAATAGATATAATCAACTTACTTAATTAAGGGAATATATAAAACGTATATACACTCCCTGTTAAAACATATAGACTCCCTGTTAAAACCTATATACCCTGCCAAACTGCCTATGATACTATGTTAGCGTCTCTCAGACAAGACAGCAGTATGTTAACGATCCGCTCTGTCAGGACGTGTGGTCTGCACAGTATCTACACACTGGTGGCGCTTCATTAGCCTTCCACTGAAGGGTGGCAGTCTGCAGGTAATGAAGACCTCTTGTCCGCCATATAGTGGATTCAGAATGTTCTCTAGCATCAATTACTTAGGCAAACGGCGTTCCATGACTTCTGTGATCCTCTGGCCAGCCTGCCATGCTATATGGACGCCTCTGTTTATGTGGCCGAATTCCTCAATGTCCAGGCACGTGAACCACTGCAGTAAATTACCCCATTCCACTGAACGACCATTGTTTTATGTCGGCCATTGTCGGAGGTCATATCGAGGTCAGTGAGTGAGTGATTTAGGGAGCAAGAATCAAGAATCAAGAACTTTTATTGTGCAGAACACCCTCGCGGGGCAGGGTACAAACTATCTACATATGGACGTAAATAAAACTATAAACAAGAGCTGCCCCCTACCCCTCCCTATTGAAATCTCGCTAACAGACTGGGAGCACACAGTTCAAATAGTTTGTTTGTTTGTTGTTTAACGCCGCACTCATCAATATTTCAGCTATAAGACGGCGGGTCTGTAAATAATCGAGTCTGAACCAGACAATCCGGTGACTGATATCATGAGAAGGCAGATACACCAGTACGCCATCTAGCGAAAGTTTGTTTGTTGTTTACCACCTGTGCAATTCTTACTATCTAACGAAATATATTGTAAGAACTGCACAGGTGGTGAAGTGGAAGATGATTTTCTACTACGATGTTCTCTGTATCAGACGTTCACATCTAACCTACAACCATCACTCAGAAGCCTAAATTCAGTAACGTCTCTAAAATATAAAGATCTCCTCAATCCTACATCTGTTTCTGCCAAAAGTGTTTCAAATACCATATACCAAACGTCCTCGGCATAATCTAACCCAGGTTACCAAGTTAGAAAATACCTTAGCAACTGCATGCATGTCCAGCTTGTTCATGTGTGAATTGTTTGTGTATAATTTTCTATGCATCAATATTTAATGTATTAGATGTACCGCTTGAACCCTGTCCTATGAAGACTTTCTGTACAAAACCTTCTATTCTACATTCAGACGTTGTACTGCTTGTACCCTGTCCTATGAAGACTTTCTGCACAACAACTTCTATTCTACATTCAGACGTTGTACTGCTTGTACCCTGTCCTATGAAGACTTTCTGCACAACAACTTCTATTCTACATGCAGACGTTGTACTGCTTGTACCCTGTCCTATGAAGACTTTCTGTACAACACCTTCTATTCTACATTCAGACGTTGTACTTCGGTGGATCTGTAGCACTTCCATCAGATTGTGGAAGATAGTGTAACCTCGTTAATACGGACCACTTTTTAAACTGGAGTGAGTGAGTGAGTGAGTGAGAATTGAGAATGGACATTCGGCAAACGCATAAACTAGTAGACTACCTCACCGCTCCGTTTCAAACTGAAAACATGGGCACTAGCACCTCACCATGATTCGTGAATACGGACATTTGTTAATCCGGATGATTTCACTGGGAACGGTATCTTCCGGAACATCAGGATTTAACCATTCTTAACACGATCATGGCCGGATAACGGGGTTTCAAAATACTTTTCACGTAATGACTGGATTAACGGGGGTTCACCATATTAACACGAACATGACAGGAATAACAGGGTCTCGACTTACTTAACTTGTTATGGCTGGATAAACGGGGTTTCTTACTTTATGTTCTTTTAGATGCATTTCTGATCGAAATTTCACGAAACAGTATCAAATACATCTTAAGAGAAAAATGACGCTGAATTGTCGTGGTCTCTCACAAAACCTGCGACGACGAATGTAAATCCACGTTACGACCCGGCCAGCGTTATGAAATGTCAAAGTGGAACATTTAATAAGAACTACTTTGGACGCTGTTTGTGTATTTTACTTATAACAGTCTCAATAATACAATTTATTATCAGCGATTAAGGAATCAGTGTCCCTGAAGTTTGCCATAACAATACACAAGCCCCGGGTAATGTTGATACAGCTCATCAGCAGTGCCGAGTAATGAGATTATACACACACCACGCTCCCTAACGACCCTGTGAGGAGAAGGTATCAGCCTCATTACACGGGTCACGTGTGTGTAACTTCCGGTAAAGGAGGCGCTCAGTATCGGGGACAGAACAGCGCCTCTGGTGTGCTGAGTGAAGGTCACTGGAACGCGTTATTGAAAGACGTTTCATTAGATCATTACTACCTATTTCCACAGGCGATGGCTCGCGTTACATAGCAGTAAGTGTGATCACACGCGCGATCGGACCCCGAGGGCATATGCTGTTGCCACATATATACGTCTCTGGTGGGTAGAGACTTTATGATACCTACCGCCATGGTACTGTAATAATCTAATTAATTATGGCCATTATTACCCATTCAGTGGGTATGAGTTTGCTTGAGTGAGTGAGTGAGTGAATTGGGTTTAACGCCGCTTTTAACAGTATTCCAGTTATATCGCGGCGTGACAGCTTAACGTGGGAGGAAAGCTCGAAGTGATGCAGGTCTCAGACGTTTACCACTTCGGTGAAACCCACGAGCTCGGGTATGGTGCTGACAAACCTAGAAACATAATCGGGGCGAACCGGGATTCGAACCCACAATCATAAGTTTCTGGCTTGCCCAAGGGACGCAACTCTGCAAAGCGAATCGCGGCGCCTTAGACGACCGGGCCACCTGTACCCCTTTGAGTGATTGAATAGTGATAACGCCGCAGTCAGCAATTTCCCAGGAAGATCGCGCGGCATGAAAGTAAACAAATATGAAGATGAAAAACACTACCTACTTCACTGTATCAAACCATGAAAACAAATTATTTGACTACATCCTGTCAAATAATGAAGCCATCAATATAAATTGCATGTTTCCATGACTATCATTTCAAACAATAAACACCCATTCATCCTAATCAACCGTTGACATTTTATATATTACAATATCAAATATGTAATTTTGATTGGTTTTTGTGTCTACAGGAGTGTGAATTATATATGTCTGTATATATGAATATGAATCATAATGTTTGTCTTAACAAAATTGCATCTGTCTCGTAATGGAATGTTTCTGCAATAAATATTATCTTGTCTTATCTATTATCTTCTGTCCCAGATAGACCAGTGACTGTAATCACGGGGACGATTCACACATCCACGCATGATGACGCGCAATCCGCTAAGTCATTGAGTCCACTTAGTCGACTGGGGGACCTAAGGTGAACCAGATCCACGCGGTACTAGTGGGTGTTAAGATATATTGAGGGATAACCTATATTTGATAGTGTGAGTGAGTGAGTTGGGTTTATCGCCGTTTTTAACAGTATTCCAGTTATATCACGGCGTGTCAGCTTATTGTGGGAGGAAAGCCCGAAGTGATGCACGGGTATGGTGCTGACAAACCTAGAAACATAATCGGAGCGAACCGGGATTCGAGTCCACAATCAAAGGTTTCTGGCGTGCCCAAGGGACGCAACTCTGTGCCTTAGACGACTGGGCCACCCGTGCCCCCTATATTTGATAGTACTCATAAACGAAAAAGAAGGTTGTAGCGTAATAACATATATACACGTTAACAATTCTCGTTAACGTGGTGGTGGTGGTGTGTGTGTGTGGCGGGGTATATAATTTTTATTTACTGACCAATAACGAGTTTCTGTGCCTCCATCCCTGTAAATGAGTACATTCAACCAGTTCCTGCTCTACGTCTGGCCTCACAGGAAGACTGCTGTTGTGTACAAGCATCCAACACAGAGTCCTTGGATAGCATCCATCTCCAGGATGGTAAATCATTCCATTAAGTACGCGTCGTATGTAAGTTACAGAACAGACAGATATGGACTTTGAAACCTGTGGATCACTACACGCGGCTACCCAGGATCAGACAGCCAGTCCCCGGCCCTCACGCGTTGTTTACCGCACCCCCTCTGTGTTGCATCACGTGCACCCCCAGGGGGGGGGGGGGGGGGGGGGGCTCGACCGGTTACAACACAGACGCTACCATGTCAATGTGACCTCCGATTGAGGCTGCCAATATTTGAAATAGAGCCCAGGTACACTAGGCAGACTCGAATCCCCATGACAACGCCACAAACAAGTGGTATTGTAGACAGTTGGTGAGATACAGGTGTTTATTAATCTGTCTAAATGTGAAGACGAGCATCTCTACAGACACGCATGTCTATAAACAAAGACATTTTTAAAGCGTGGCCTTCCTTCTGTCTTTCTTCCCGAAAAGATCCAGGTTACAACTGGCCTTCAGCATCCCATGCTTGTGGTAAGAGGCGGCTAACGGGATTGGGTGGTCAGACTCGCTGATTTGGTTGATGCATATCATCATATCCCAGTTGCGTAGATGGATGCTCAATCACTGGATTGTCTGGTCCAGACTCGATTATTGACAGACCGCCGTCATATAGCTGGAATATTGCTGAGTGAGGCGGAAACAACAAACAAACAAACGAACAAACCCAATTCAACTTTGCTCACAGCTTCATTGAATGATTTGAATCTATTTGCATCAACAAATATGGTGTTCAAATAGAAAAACCTTAGAAGGCGTGTTATCTTGACCGGCAGGGACGGGTTATACACAACGGGGATGTTCCTTCATCACTGAATGATGTTTTATCAAATAACTTCATATGAAAGCATGAGGGTAATATTCTGCGTTAATGGCAAGTTAAGGACATAAAATAAGATTATATCTTTTGATTTGCAGCTTTGTAATGATGAAAACTATTACAGCTTGAACCATCATCATTACATGCCAGATTAACACTGATTTTGATAGACTTCCTCAAAGCTTAATAGCTCCCCATCACCGGATGTTAACGACACCAGATAGGTCAACCACGTTCTCTCTGAGGTTCGCCATCTTGGAAGTTGTCAGCGGGGCGGAACGAATGAATGAAGCATGTGATGTGATGTCACAGGCCAAGGTGAGATCGGTGCAGCTTGGAGGTGACGTGGTTTGAGTCTGCGCAGTGAGGGTGACGTGGCTGTGCACCGGAAGGTCTACTGAGGACTGTCACGTATTCAGAGCTGACTGATTCACACCGTCACAGAGGACCGTCACTGAGGACTGATGTATTTCTCACATTCCCCATTTTTTTGTCACCTCCTACATACACGACTGCATGATTTGAGTCATATATTTGCGACAAGGAGTACAAGAAGTAGCCGTCATATTTCATGTTCACCAACCTCAGCCGACAGACGACATATTTGATTTTGAAGAACCCTAGCCGTCAGACGACGTATTTGATGTTGATCAATCTCAGTCGACAGACGACATATTTGATGTTCACCAGCCTCAGCCGACAGATTTGATGTTGAACAAACTCAGTCGCCAGACGACATATCTGATGTTGAACAAACTCAGTCGCCAGACGACATATCTGATGTTGAACAACCTCAGTCGACAGGCGACATATTTGATGTTACCCAGGATTGCCTAAACCCCAAGCGCCAGAATCTGACCCGTGTCAAGATTTATCAGATGGAGGCTCTGACTAAGATGCAACATTTCCTACTTCGTGCAAAGTAAACACTCTCTGTCTCTGACATTCCCACGCCACAGGGCGGAGTAATGTACATGCCATCTGAAAACGTGTCAATTACAGGTTTATCTCAGATAAGTTTTATACTTAATATATTTTACACCCACTGATAGGTCTATGATGTAAGCACGTTTTGAAGATATTCCAGTGTGATTCAACCACTGTGATGAGGACTGCCCCACCGTGTGGCGGTGTTCAGATGACGTATGTCTGCCGCCATGCTGGGTCCTGTGTTGCCGATTCATTCAGTCTTCCACTTGTAGCCTAGCCAAGATGGCGGTACGTGGACATAAATCACCACCTCCACAGCACCATGTGTGACAACGTCTAACAGGCGGAGATGTTTGTGGGTGCAGATGCATGGGTGTTCTAACACTCGCAGAACAAGTGTTTATGTGTGCTCTCCTGTAGTCGAAATAAATTGGTTCACAAACTCTATGTTACGAAGCAGTAGTGGGATCAGAACCCGTGTGTTTTGTGTAACGAGCGAAAGCGTTTACTGGTGGGCCACCCTTATCAAATAACTTCATATGAAGGCATGAGCGCAATATTCTGCGTTAATGGCAAGTTAGGGACATAAAACAGGATTATATCTTTTGATTTGCAGCTGTGTAATGATGAAAACTATTACAGCTTGAACCGTCATCATTACATGCCAGATTAACACTGATTTTGATAGACTTCCTCAAAGCTAAATAGCTCCCCATCACCGGATGTTAACGACACCAAATAGGTCAACCACGTTCTCTCTGAGGTTCGCCATCTTGGAAGTTTGGTTCACAAACTCTATGTTACGAAGCAGTAGTGGGATCAGAACCCGTGTGTTTTGTGTAACGAGCGAAAGCGTTTACTGGTGGGCCACCCTTGGGGATTAGACCGCACGTTTTCTATGTATGGAGCGAACGCCGTCACACATGCGCTAGCCTTGATGGGAATAGAACCCATGAGTAAATATAACGCTCACTATAGGGCCATGGTGGTTAACAGGCCCCACTTGTTCTTGGTAAGGGTTGAGCTGCACTTGAACGAACTAGAACATATGCATTCTATGTAACTAGAGCACGAACATTCACGGCTATAACAGGTAAACAGCCGGGCAAAATAAAGTATACACTCATGTTTCATGGTGGCTAGAAATGAAACAACAAGAAATGGTTTTTTGATAGTGATGTATTTGATAAGGTAACAAAGAGTGTGTTCTGGAGCTTAAGTACTTAGTGCAGTGTTTGGAAGACTGTTTTCAGCCTAGTAACGTTTTGATAACGTTTGCAATTTTTTGGTCAAATCCAATTTTAAAGTGAATACTTTCTTTTGTCAGCAGTGTAGTCAGCGACAGGTACATACCTCGAGGTAGTATTTGTGTTCCCTCTCCTTGACGGTGAGGGCGTTGGCGACGGCAAATACGATGCCGAATACAACCAGCAACAGACAGTAAAGTCCACACAGCAACTTCGTCATCGCTGACCTTGAGGGAGAAACAGAAGGTCATATGAGACATGGCAAACATACAGTACGCTCAATTAGAAAGATTGAACAGGTACCACGCAAACACTGAGCTGTAGTAGAGTGCTGCGACAAGTACACTGAAAATGTAAAAAACACAAACACGTTGGTTACATGATCATAAGTACATTAACTTCCTAATAGGGTAGGACCCGTGAACGTTATCTTGGCTCGATCTCATACTGTAGCCGCAATGGACTGTTTGAATTGTATACAGAGTGAGTGAGTGAGTGAGTTAGGTTTAACGCCGCTTTTAACATTATTCCAGTTATATCGCGGCGTGTCAGCTTAATGTGGGAGGAAAGCCCGAAGTGATGCAGGTCTCAGACGTTTACCACTTCGGTGAAACCCACGAGCACGGGTATGGTGCTGACAAACATAGAAACATAATCGGGGCGAACCGGGGTTCGAACCCACAATCATAGGTTTCTGGCGTGCCCAAGGGACGCAACTCTGCACAGCGAATCGCGGCGCCTTAGACGACTGGGCCACCCGTGCCCCCGAATTGTATACGGAAGGTTCAATACTTTATATAAGGGAAGACAGAGATGACATTTACATCTCTGCACTGACACGAGACTTGCACAGGTCTTGGCGACCATGCTAGTAAGAGTTGACTAACGAGATCGTGTGGTCAGGCGCCTTGACTTGGTTGATGCATGTCATCGTATCCCAATTGCGTGGATCGATGCTCAGGACTTCAATCACTGGATTGTCTGGTACAGACTCGATTATGTACAGACCGCCGTCATATAGCAGGAATATTGCTGAGTGCGGCGTTAAACAACAAACAAACAAACCCAATAGGGTAGATATATTTGCATTATTCGTCACGTCAGAGTCTTGCACATTGTTGGTTCAGTGGGGAGTTCTTAGAGATGTAGCTCTGATCACAAAATATATATACTGTTATTCATGAACGTTTTCTCAAAGGACGTATGTCTCCTCAGTCGAGGTGAATAATAAGGTAAATTAGATTTTTCTCATTTCAGAACCATCGAAACAGTCAATAGTGTAGCGCGGTGTCGATGTCCATTGTAGCGTCTCATCGAAACATCGGAGTGAGTGCGTATGGTTTTACGCCGCTTTTAGCAATATTCTACCACGGCAGGGGCACCAGAAATGGGCTTCACACACTGTAACCATGTCGGGAATCGAAGTCGGGTTTTCGGCGTGACGAGCGAACGCTTAAACCACTAGGCTACCCGACCGCGCCTCGATGCATCGGACAAACACACAGCACCAATAGTTGGCCCACGTTGCTATGCAAGAGGAAAGGTGGTTACCGTGTTTCAATTGCCTTGAACAATTGTTCTCACACCCGTCACTTATACACGGATTGTCTCCTGCTGAGGTGAGTATTACTCCATCTGCTGTTTCCTTTGACATGCTCTGCAACTCCTATCTAAATACATTCATTCGTGTTTCCCAACCCCGCAAAGATGATTGTAAACCTTTCAGATGCACATCAGACTTTCAAAAGTGTTTCTCAAATCTGCAACCGTCCTTTACAACTACTCCATGCATAGTGTTCATACGTCATATCCATTTCAGGTGTCCCCCGCCGCGATATTGCTAAAAGCGGCGTAAGACCATACTCACTCACTCATACTTCATATTTATCATTTAACTAAAGCATTTATCCATGACATAAGCTTATGACATAAAAACATGTATGTCATACCCCAATGTCATAAGTATGCAAATTAGATATGCAAATTAGATAACCGGAAGTGGGACTTTTTTCGCCGGTGCAACATGGATACCTTTGATGTTGGAGACATTATTTCAATTATTCTGTAAAAGTCTGTTCAAGTATTTTCTTTAAAATAATCCGAGGAACTTTTTTTCTCAGCGAAGGAATATGCCATAAAGGAGTTAGGAGGTTGTTTATTTTGATTTACACGGCTATGGAAAACATCACTACGCACGATCTATACGTAAGATTTCGACAAGTTGCTAATGTTAATGTTTAATGCAATTATTCCTTAATTGGGAAGCAAAAATGTGAAAATGATAAATAGAATTCATCACTCGTGTTTTTTAATATGGGAAATATCAACCTCGTCCCGTTAATCAGTATTTGCCTCGCCAAAGGCTCGGCAAATACCGATTAACTAAGACTCGGTTGATATTACCCATATTAAAAAACACTCGTGATGAATCCTCTATATATTAATGTACGTCACATCAACGGTATGCATCGGAGTAAATGTGGTATGATGCTGGTATGATGCTGGTATGCCTCATTGGTATCTGTAAGACACTTTACCCATATTATCAAAGTGCTCACTAAAACATAGTGTAAACTATTCTTGAAAGGTATATCAATTTTTTAACAACTATTTATTACGCGCCACTATCTATTGTGTTTTATATGAACAAGGGCATGGTCCTGCGCCATTTCTGGAAGCCTCGGCGAGTCTAGATGAAACTGCACCAAGTTATTATTATAAAGAACGGTTTTCTTCGACGATGGGTTAGCCAATGCCGGCAGCAAGAGCATACAAAGAGAAGCAAAATATTTACATATATCAGGAACATAACGCACGCGCATACCTAGACATACATTATGAGCTATAAAGTACCCACTGAACAAAGAATGCATAGCGTACAACCACTTGGCAACAAGGGCCCGTATATTCATAACCTTACATCAACATCCTGTCCCAGAGCCGGGGTAGTTTTCTATGACCCGATCTGGCCTGATATTTATAGACTGTAATCTGACACTCTCGTCTACATCTCGAATAAAATGTGATGTGTGAGATGTTTATGTGGTGACGTTATCGCAGTACTAGAACATCCTAGGACCGGTTTGAAGATAGCGCCAACCCTCGTCCTACCGTGTATGTTTTAATATGTACTCCCAGGTTGCAGGAATGTGGGTGTTGGTGTTAGTAAAGCCTTGCTCAAAGGCTGTACTGAAAGAAAAGTCCATGTAGGATAGTCATTCTATCGTCCTAATAGGCAAGTCTAGATATGTGAACAATCTGAGGATTTCCCGTCTCTTATAGGGACAACTTGTTTCTATTATTTACATAATCTAGAAATTATGACTTAAACTAATAATTATTGCCTCAGAGACCTGTTCAAGTCTAGCGTTGCTGCAGAGATCTAAAATTGATCTTTGCCTTCCCTTATAAAAATAGTATTGAACCTTCAGTATACAACCTTCAGTATACAGCTGCAGTCCATTGCAGCTACAGTATGAGATCGAGCCAAGATAATAACGCTATGGAATCAATGGTAAGCTATAGGTTAATGCAATGCCACACACGTTCAGACACCAAAGGTAGGTAAACATCCCCACACATAACAATGATTTGGACCAGACAATCCAGTGATAGATATCATTAGCATCGCAATTGGGATACGATGACATACATCAACAAAGTCAGCGAGCCCGACAACCATATCCCGTCAGTAGCCTCTTACAAGCATAGTCGCCTTTTACGGCAAGCATGGGTTGCTGAAGACCTATTCTAACCCGATCGTCACGGGCTGTACCATGAGTTACCACAGTAGGACACAGAGGACAACGTGACATACCTCGAAATAGTACGTCAGTAAAACTGTTAGGTTCTGTTTCCCAAGACCTGCAACCCCGTGACTTGTCGCTCCCCCTCGATCTGCCTACTACATCTCTAAAGGTAGTGGACGTTGGTCAGGGAACATCTGACCACTACCTGTCACGTGTTTTAGTTTTATCTTAAACCACATTCCAGGACGTTTATAAACATATAGGATCTATGGTGAGCCTTCTTCTAAACATTATTGTGGGACGTAAACATGATGGGTGATAGGAGCTGATGATCCCAGCCCTGGCCTTTGAAGCTGATTGAATGAGTGATGGTATCGGCTTGAGTGGGAGATGGATGCTGGTACCCCCTGCCGATGTAGGAAATACAGTATGGATGTAATGAAATCAACAGCTTTTATAAACGGATATTGAGTTCATATGTAGTTTTTATGCTGTGGTAATGCTCTATTTTCCAATATGTACCCCTACGAGCTGTATAAACTGTCAAAAAGAAGTTAAAGAACTCGATTCTTTCACATCGGGTGTTCTTTAACTTCTTTGGAGAAGTATATGACATATTTCGTCGTTACTCTTTATCCGACTGTTGTATTTGATGACGTCAGGTATAAGCTCAGCTCGGAGGAACTGCATGTAAATGTGTATTCTAAGTTTATTGTTTCCGGATATGGACCTGGCTCGTCTGACCTGGCTGTGGTAAGTGTGTATGTCTTCATAGGCGGACAGTGCAGACACCATCAACGCCATCACCATCACCGCGAACCCATGACAACGTCGACATCATCACCGCAAAGCCATGACTGCGTCGACACCATCACCAGAATTCATGTCAACGTCGACACAATCACCAGGAACCAATGGCAACGTGAACATCATCTTCAAGAACCTATGACAACGTCGACACCGACACCAAGAACCCATGACAACGTCGACACCATTACCAGAATTCAGAATAATGTCGACACCATCATCAAGAACCCATGACAACTTTGAGACCATCACGCGTCAACACCATCACCAAGAACCCATGACAACGTCAACACCATCACCAAGAACCCATGGCAGCGTCGACACCATCACCAAGAACCCATGACAACGTCAACACCATCACCAAGAACTCATGACAACGTCGACACCATCACCAAGAACACATGACAACGTCGATACCATTTCCAGAATTCAGAATAACGTCGACACCATCAGCAAGAACCCATGACAACGTCAACACCATCAGCAAGAACCAATGACAACGTCAACACCATCACCAAGAACCAATGGCAGCGTCGATACCATCACCGAGAACCCATATGACAGCGTCGACACCATCACCCGCGACCCTATGACCTTGTAGACACCCGGTGTTCACGATATGAGGCGCCGCTGCCTTTATACGAGCTGAATGAGTGTCCAGGTATCCCCCC